CTAGATTTTAGGTTTTCAAATTAAAATCAGATTAAATGGATGTAGCATAATTATTAGATATCATTAAATTATTGATTTTAATAGATGAATACCCATTATTGTATTTGTGAAAATACATAAATTTTGTATTTTAATGATATTCATTATGTAATAAATAAATATTTGTAAATTCTATATTTAAATTCTCTTCAAAGATTTAATTAGAATTTTAAATTCCATAACTAAAATATTTAAATGAGCTATTATTAATGGTTACACCACTTAAATTATTATTATTATTGAGAATGATAAGAGTTGAGTTATTGATTTCAGAATTTTCAAATGAAATTCCAATTACTCTTATATCATTCAAATAAAGCCAGCTAATGAAGGTTAAACAATTGAGTAAATTTACTTTAAAATTCATATTTTTACATATAAGATTTCCATTTTTCATAGACATTCCAGTTTATATAAAAGTTGAATTATTAAATTAAGCATTTACATATAAATCTTAAAGTTCGATGATATCTTGTTTGTTAAAATTAAAAAATAGAGTGATTTGATTGTCCAAAGCAGAGTTTATAATCTAAAAATTTTGAATTTTAATCATTTTAGTAAAAGAGGTATTTGTAATTGAAATGAACTTATCAATATATTTTTAAGTTAAGTCAATTATTTTGAAATTACTTAAAATTAACTAAATAACATTTTAAAAAATGATTTAAGATGAATCTACTTTCTATTAAATTTACTAATATATAAAATTATCTAAAACAATCACTTAAGGTAATATGTTCTTAAATATCAGTTATTTTATATTATTATTTTATTAAGGTTAGAATATACCTCCTAAAATTGTAATTTTGTTAAAATTCTAAAAAGTTATAGTTCTTTCAAATTCAATGATGGTATTCTGATTCAAATTAAATTATAATTCAACATTTCTAGAAAATAAACGATATTATTTACATAGTGGAAAAAATGTTCTAACTAAATAACTATTAAATTGTAGCATTTCCTTTAATTTTACATTTTTAAGGTTTGATACTAGTAATTTAAAGAATAATAGTTTTAATTAAATTGGAATTAGATTAGAAATAAAAATCATCATTTTCAAACTAATATATTAATTTAAATTATTATTACTTATTTAAAACTTTATCCAGAAATTAGATCCTCTAAGAGTATGTTACGTTTATAAAATTGTTGTTTTTCATAATCTGTCAATTGAGCATTTAAGGCTGTTATGAAATCTTCTTAAGAGCAAAATAAATTAAGTGGAATTATGAGTTATTTTTCACAATTATTAAGATTAATACAATTAATGAAGCTTCCTAATTATTAATCAAAAAAATAGTCTTAATCTTCAAAACTTTGTAAACATTGGTATGAAGCTGTTATGTATTTATCATTCTTAAAAAAAGGATTAATTAATTCAATTTCTTCTTATGACCTAATTCTACATAATGCACAATTTTATGGACATTCAATACATTAATTTTCTGATAAACTTAGTCTTCTTCCTTAGAATTCAAGATAACATCTTATACATTAATTATGACCATTTAAATATTAGCATTCTAAACATGAGTCAGGACAAGCTTCGATACAGATTTCATTTACTAATTCGTATCCTTTAGTACAAAACGTACATATAATTTCATAATCATCTTTGTCTTCACTTTAGGCATTTAGTTTAAATGGATGATCATATTTCGAATTAATAAAATATTAATAAAATGCTCTTATTTAATTTTTCCAATGATCTTTCACTATTTTTTATTGTTAAGTACAATATTAGCAATGTAATTCTGACGGGCATTAGAAGCATTTACCTGATATTCTATCAGCAAAATATCCCTTTTTACAAGTCAGACAAATATGGACTACTCCTGTATTTGTTACCTTTTCTCTTAAACAACTTTCACAATTCTCTATATATCCTGGACATAATTAATTGAATTGAACGATTTTGTATCTTGGTGATTCATCATATGTTAAATGAATCAAACAATATTATTGTGATGTAGCATAGATACCATACATATTAGGATTAAATGCAATAGATATGATCTATTTATCAATTTCTTTTTCAATAATCACAATTAGCTCATTAATTAAAATATCATCTAGAATAGTAGAATTACTAAAACGTTCTGCATATGAGAAGAAGCATTAATTATCAGGTTAAAATAAACAAGTATTAGTTTCCAATATCAGAACACAATTAAAATGACACCTTCCACATGTGGTAATAATATTATGCCAATCATTTCTTGGTTTAAAATTGAGATCAAGAGTATTAATCTATAAATCAGTTTACAAAGCCTAAAAAGCATGATGACAATTTTTGATTGGATTTTCAAAGCAATTTATTCCATCAAATGATAAAAAGTATTTTGTATCATCTAAACATTTGTAGCATCTTAGATAATTTTAACCTGTATTTGAATCATATTAATTTTTGCAAACAGCACAGAAATTTCCACAACGAACACAAACTCCATTATCTAAATTATAACCATTCAAACAAGATTAACATTATAAACTTTTTAATTCAACATCATACTCACAAGTTAAACAAGTAAACGGACATTAATAGTAACTAGAATTATATTAGTACATTCCAGCTTTAGTTTATTAACATTTTCCATCTTTTGATGCTTGTAAACAATTAACATCTATAAACATACAATCTTAATTTTTTTAATAATAATTAGGTTTACATTTTACATTTACATATTCATCTAAATGTTTATATTTTGATGTAAAGCAATCAGAGTCTAATTCTATATCACAAAAATCCATGATGCCTGGATGAATCTCAATAAACTTATCTTTATCAATAAGATAAACATCATAATTTAATTAATCTCTTTTATTATAGTCAAATGCACCTTAAGCAGTCTATTTTAATGATATTAAATCATATTTGCATATTGGTTTTAGATACCAAGTTAATGGGTAATAAATACAATCCATACATAGAATTTCATAGGAATTCGATTAAGGACTCATTATAATTAAATTTATTACCATTTTTTACATTCAAAAGAATCATTTCCAGTCGGATAGAGAAAGTATCCAAATTAACATAAAGTATCACTAAAAGGTGCTCCCTCTTTTTTTTAAACTGAAGAATATTCAATTTCAAATGATTTACACACTTTCTCGTCTGGTACGTCTATAAATCCATGATTGCATTTGCATTTTTTTTGTTCATTTAAATAATGTCTGTTAGAATAATCTTCACAACTTATACAATTATTTTCAAGAGGTCCATCGCAAGTCTTACAAGAGTAATGACAAACTAATTTTGATTATTTAATTATACCATTAAATAGAAATTACTTATCATCCACATAATTATATTCGAATTTAAAATCATAAAGTGATGCTTGGAGCAAATCTATTATAAACTCATCTGATCCCAAATAGAGATAAAGAGGAGAGTTGCATATTGATGCATAATTTTCAATTGTTATTTATTAATTTAACTCGTTGTAAAATTGTATATAGGTAATAGTTCTAAATTCTTTTGTTAAACCTTATTCATAATGTAAATAATGCCATTATTGTAATCCTTCAAAATAAAGATGATTATTATCATCAAAAAATCCTGTTTAAAATACATTAATTGTTGGACCTCTAAGCAATCCCATTATAGGTATCATATGGAAATCCTTAAAAATTTCAATACCACTTGTTTTAGGTTCAATTCTGTTTAGAATTACTCTTAGCACAAATATTTCATCACCAAAATATGTTTATTCAAAATAATTTTTAAAAAGACTTATCCTTATCAAAGGAAAGACTGATTTCTCAATTACTCTTGATGCATCATATTTTACCCATCCAGATAAACAGTATCTAGTTCCAAATTAATTAATGGTATATTGGAGAGATGTATCACCATTGAATATTTATAATCCTTTGACCAAATAAATTTTTTACTCTTCCGTTAATGGAAGCGGTACTTAACAATTATCCTCCATATATTTGAATAAGGATCCAATCTAAAATTCTTCATTTCTAAGCAAGATCTTGGACAATCTCCCTTTATAATTATTTAGGTTTAATTTTCCAATCTATTCAAATTTACAATATAATATTACTTTTCCTCTTCCTCCTAAGAAAATTTAAGTATAAATTGTAAGCATTGTTGTTACATTTATACTTTATTTAACTTAATCTGTCATCTCAAAAGAAATTTCACCCTTATCAAAGTCATATGTAAAAACATTTAAAATCCATTTCCCCTCATAAATAATGGGGTGATAGTTAAAATCTAATTTTTGTTTGTTGTCTCCATTGATTATTATGTTATAAATAACTAGATCAGGTTCTAAGCTCATCGAAATAAATCCTATCACTGAAACACCATTATAGCCTTTAACTAAAAATAAGAATTATCCATCTTCTAATTAGTTTTCATCAAATTCTTAATCAACATAGGGGACATTTTTAAATTGTTATTGAGGAACACATAAACTCCAAAACCCAAATTCAAATGAAATTCCCATATATATATTGACATATGAGTTAAGAATTGGAGACTCTATGGGCAATAAGGCATCTTCATAATCACTATACGGGCAACAATATAGTGTTGGGAGACTAAGAAATACATAAATAAAAGTTGTCAGTGTAGAAAACTAGTAGACAATTTTCATAATTTACAATAAATATTGATTTTGAAATATTATAAATTTCCATTAAAACAGCAATAATTTTGGAGATAATTGGACTTATTTATTTACAAAAATTAAAAAATATTAAAACAAATATCAACACCAGTCTGTATTTAGTTTTAATGTAATTTAATAAATTATAATTCACAATTAAAAATTATAATATATAGTTATAAAATAAGTGACTGAAAATTGTTTTACTTTAAAAAATATCTAATTGCTACATCTTAAATTCTTAAATATTTATAGAAAAAATAAACAAGTTATATTTAAAGATTTTGGATTTTGTATCTTCTAATAGTTTCTAATCATTTTTTATATTAGAGTTCATATGTAAGAGATATATTTATTTGATTAAAATTAATTTAGATATACATGGTTGATAAGCCAAAAATGAATATACTTTTTTTAAATTAATGATATTCGTTAATAAATAACATTGTATATGGAGTTGGGATTGAATTGGGTGATAATTTGGATAGATATTCGTAAGTCATTTATGAAGGAGTATATTAAAATTGTAAAAAAGTTGGTNCCAAATTAATTAATGGTATATTGGAGAGATGTATCACCATTGAATATTTATAATCCTTTGACCAAATAAATTTTTTACTCTTCCGTTAATGGAAGCGGTACTTAACAATTATCCTCCATATATTTGAATAAGGATCCAATCTAAAATTCTTCATTTCTAAGCAAGATCTTGGACAATCTCCCTTTATAATTATTTAGGTTTAATTTTCCAATCTATTCAAATTTACAATATAATATTACTTTTCCTCTTCCTCCTAAGAAAATTTAAGTATAAATTGTAAGCATTGTTGTTACATTTATACTTTATTTAACTTAATCTGTCATCTCAAAAGAAATTTCACCCTTATCAAAGTCATATGTAAAAACATTTAAAATCCATTTCCCCTCATAAATAATGGGGTGATAGTTAAAATCTAATTTTTGTTTGTTGTCTCCATTGATTATTATGTTATAAATAACTAGATCAGGTTCTAAGCTCATCGAAATAAATCCTATCACTGAAACACCATTATAGCCTTTAACTAAAAATAAGAATTATCCATCTTCTAATTAGTTTTCATCAAATTCTTAATCAACATAGGGGACATTTTTAAATTGTTATTGAGGAACACATAAACTCCAAAACCCAAATTCAAATGAAATTCCCATATATATATTGACATATGAGTTAAGAATTGGAGACTCTATGGGCAATAAGGCATCTTCATAATCACTATACGGGCAACAATATAGTGTTGGGAGACTAAGAAATACATAAATAAAAGTTGTCAGTGTAGAAAACTAGTAGACAATTTTCATAATTTACAATAAATATTGATTTTGAAATATTATAAATTTCCATTAAAACAGCAATAATTTTGGAGATAATTGGACTTATTTATTTACAAAAATTAAAAAATATTAAAACAAATATCAACACCAGTCTGTATTTAGTTTTAATGTAATTTAATAAATTATAATTCACAATTAAAAATTATAATATATAGTTATAAAATAAGTGACTGAAAATTGTTTTACTTTAAAAAATATCTAATTGCTACATCTTAAATTCTTAAATATTTATAGAAAAAATAAACAAGTTATATTTAAAGATTTTGGATTTTGTATCTTCTAATAGTTTCTAATCATTTTTTATATTAGAGTTCATATGTAAGAGATATATTTATTTGATTAAAATTAATTTAGATATACATGGTTGATAAGCCAAAAATGAATATACTTTTTTTAAATTAATGATATTCGTTAATAAATAACATTGTATATGGAGTTGGGATTGAATTGGGTGATAATTTGGATAGATATTCGTAAGTCATTTATGAAGGAGTATATTAAAATTGTAAAAAAGTTGGTATATGGATGGAATTGGAAAAAAGATATGAAAACTTTAAGAAAATTTGAAAAAAAAAAAATATTAATTATGATAATTGAAAAATTTCAAGATTTTTTAACCATAATGAACTATTAGATTTAATTTATTATTAGTATTCTAAATTTTATCTTTTTAGATTTTTTTATAGTATGTGTGATGATGATTTAAAACTCATGGTTTTTTTTCAAATTTTTTCATTTTATTAATAAGTGGTTATCAATTTTTTATCAAGCTCACTTATATTTCGTACATTTTGAATAAACCTGTTTGTATGAAGAAAAAAATGATTATTTTTCTTTTACAAGGGTTGGGATGAGCTTTGTACTTTGAATTTCTTTTTAGTTAAGCAATTCAAGCTTATGAAGGCAAGGGCAATCTAAAAAATGATTAATTTGATTATAATATTCTTTAGATTTGGATTAACCAGAAACTGTCATTGGTAGTAGATATGATAATATCAAGCCTCCAGAACCCTAATTTTGTTAAGATATATAAGATTTTTAATTAAATCGATTAGAAAACTTTGAATAAATCATATAATTAGATAGTAATTCTTTTCAATCTAAAGTATTCGAACTAGAAGACTTGAAACTTAAGCAAATAAATTAAGAAATGTTCTTATTTAATTACTTTTACTATAGGATTTGTTTATAAATCTAATAAAATTTCACTATCTTCATCTTGCTTGGAGAATAATTTTCCAATTATATTTTATACAAAGGATTAGTAAAGTAATAGCGAATGAAATGAATTTATTCAAAAATTAATTGAAAACATAATATAAAATTAAAGGAACATATAGCTTTTTAAGAAGATTATAAACATTTTTATTATTTAGAGAAAAGCATTTAGCTAATGAAAGTATTTAAATAAACATCAAATATTTTACTATTAATCTAAAATATATTAATATTTTAATTTACAAAGAGAGGATTTCAAGTAAAATAGAAAATATTTTAAGATGGGTAAAAGTATTTCTCCTATTATCTATGTGAGATTAAATGTTTAAAAAGCTTAACTACTAAAAAATAGCAATTACTTTATTGATTTCCTGTTCATAAAGTAAGTTGATAGATAATTTCATCCATTAAAGTTAAGGAGATTATAAACACCTTTTCTTATTTGAAATATTTGAAACATTGAATTCATTTTATCGATTAATATTAAAGGGATGCATGAGAAGTTGGATAGACTAATTGTAATTTAAAGTTATTGTTATTGAAAATTGTATATTTATAGAGATTGAGATGATGTAAACGATAGATAGTATATTACAATTATATAGTAAATAATAATAAGCATATTGACCTATGCAGAAAAGTATTTTAACTTAAAGGTGATGTAGTTTTAATTGTTGAAGAATAAAAATATTTGAGCAACTATTTGCATTTAAAACTCCTTTAACACAGAAAGGTCTTGCAGAATTTAATTAAGAAAAATAAAAACAAATTAAAGATTAACCATTTTGAAAGTAATAACCCATAATTATTAAAAAATATATACTATATCTTTAAAAGTAGTAAATTGTTAAAATCTTCTTTTAAAGACAGTTTGGTTGAGATTTCTAATAATGTCCTTTGATTGATCTGTTCCATTTAGCTTCCATTAAATATTCTTCCATTAAGGATTTTTAAAGATATGAATTAAGATGTTGTAGATATATATTAAAACAAAAACAATCAATTTACTTTATTTCCTAGTCATGAGAAATTAAAATTGGCATATTCGATTCTTCAATCATGTATTATTTTGAATACATCGATAAAATTACAATTCTTAAATTAAATTTTGTACCACATATGACAAGTTATATGGTTAAGACAAAATGTAAGTGGATAGAATCAATTTTATAAAATAGACCTTTTGATTTGGTTGGTTGTTAGAAATTCAATTATAGCTATCAGTAGTTTCAAAAGAAGAATTTTTTCTTATTTTCGGGAAAAATTTCATTGTTTCTAGNAATATAAATCGCAACTGTATATTATATTAATCTTTCAATGATCTAAAAATGAAAAAAAAAAAGCTATATGTGTAAAAGAAGAAAATAAGAATTCCGCAAAGCAACTTCAGCTGTTAGTTATCTAAACTATTTAAGATTAATCCCATTAGAATTTGATATCACGAAAAGGATTCACTTATTGATTTAAATTTGCAAGAATGTGAGTAAGAATTAAGGAGACTTAAGTAAAATTGAAATACTCTGATAAGAAAAAAAGATTAAGGAAGAAAATATAATTTGATTTTAAAAAATGAGTGCAATTTTTACTGAAAAAGCTGTAAAGTTGAGAAACAACCAATATAAAATTCTTTTATCGCTGCTTAAATTTTTCTAAATCCTTCTTAAGTCAAAATATTTTGAAAAAATAGTTGTGAAATATATTCTTTCTATGGCTATTATTAAATAAAATAAATTAATTTAAAAGGCAATGATCAAAACATAAATCATCTCGTCAAAATGTCGATATTCACAAACAGATAAATTTTGATATAGTGGTAAATATCTTCTATTTGATGTATCAAAACAAGATAAGCAATCTTGCTTTTTTGAAACATCACATTCCTTGAAAATAGGATGGCAATTGATCTTTGGTTGATTTCTATCAGGACAATTAAAAAACTTAAACCTATAATTTATACATTTAAATAATTTACTTAAGATAAAAGTATTCTCATACACAGTATTAACAATTAGTATATTAAGATAAAAATTAAAAATAATCATATTTTTGTACTGTTTAATTACAAAAATTAGTTACGTTAATTTTGTCATCTAACTCTCAAAATACATTTAATATAAAATATAGAATTATTATAATTAAAATTATTCATTTCAATATTAAATTATTAGTTTTGAAATACTAAAATTTAATTTTTTAATCGATTAATGACACTTTATTATATTAAATTTAAAATTTATTTTTTACTCTAAATAACAGTATAAATTAATCAAAATTTACTATTTTATGTGAGCCTCTAAATATTTTATTCAATAATTTCAAAGATTTATTTTTAAGTTTTCTGAAGTTAGCAAAAGAATAGATTTGAGATGACTTAAAACTAAGAAAGCAAAATAGTTTTGATATGTAAAAAATGGTGAGTTTTTATTTATAATAAAAGTAAGTTAATTACGAATAATATTAGATTATATCCAATTCATAAATTAGAATTAATCATCAAGAAGGGAAATGATTTTAGAACTTCTTTGATAGCATCTAATTCATTTTTTCATACCAATATCATGACTTGTTTTTATGTAGTAATTGTAATAAATTCTTAAATTTCAAGATATATTTATATGATTCCTAATTGATAGGTAATAATTATACTCAACCAATTTTAAATTGGAATATTCTTTAAATCAACCTTGATATATCAATATATTTATTTGATCTTCCCTCAAATATATTAATATATATTGGTGAAAAAGTAATAATTATTTTCACCAATGCATTTAAATTGAATCTATATTAGTGAAAATTGGTAAATTATTTTCACCGAAAAATGCTTCTCAATATTTTTTGGAGAAAATAATTATTCCTCTATATATTAATATATTTCAGAGAAGATTAAATAAATATTATTTTATCTCCTCATATTTTAATAAATAATTACTGATATCAGTTATAAGTTTTGTTTTTTATATTTTAATTTTACACCTATTTATGTATCGATTTTTTTATTTGAATTTGAAGATACTTTATTTTTTTTTCTATACTATAGTTTTAAAAATATGTATTTGATCGAAAGATTCTTAAAAATAATTATCAAATTACAATTTATTTTTCATTTTTCGATAATAACTATATGGATTTCTATTTTTGAAAAATTTCTCTATTTCTGCATTTATTTTTGTTTTTTTTTTATTATTTTTCTATATTCACAAATTAGATCTCCAATTCTAATTTCTGACTCTAATTTACTTGTTTAATTTTGATTTGTAATGAATAGAATTTTAAATAATCAGATATTATTAAAATTTTATATTCTAGAGTAACTATATTACCATAAAAATTATTTCTCGTCTGTATTTAACAATTTATAAAAAATGTTATTAGAATCATCTAAATAACTGACTTAGTCACATTAAAAGAAAACCTTCATCTATATTATTTCTAAATGGGTTCCTATTAAAAGAATTTTAACAAAAATAAATTAATAACATTATTATAATAAATTTAGAGAATTCTTATTGAATTATATTTTTAAATATCATGAATATTAAATAATTATAAAGATTAAAGCAAATTTAGAGTATCCTAGAGAAATTATATTCACAATATTGTTGAAATATTTTAAAAATATTAATTAAAACAATTTTTGATAATTTAGGGAAATTTTATTTAAAATATCGTTGAAATATATTTAAAATTAGGGAATATAAAGGAAATTATATTCATAATTTCATAAAAATTTATTAATTTTATATAATAATAGAAGTATAATTAATCCAAAATTAAAAATTTTTGATTGCTTTATTTTTTCTTTGAAATTTTCATTTGATTTAATATTTTTGGGATTACAATCAATTGATTGTTATCGATAAAAATGAGCTTGATTTAGAGAAAGGTAATTTTTTTTTTCAATAAAATCCCATAAAATGCTGACTCATTGATTAAATTTGTTCTTAGATTGTTATTTTCGTAATTTTTAATATTTCTAATTTAAGTACGCTAAAATAAGATGATATTTTTTGAGTTAAAATATTTTTTCATGAATTATTTCAAAATTCTAACCGATACATATTTGAAAAATATAAATTATGTACATTAATTAATTCTAAAGTAAGAACACAGATAATCTTAGACCTTCTTTCAACTAATCCAAGCCTTACTTATACTATAAGAATTAATTAATTATACGAAGATCATAATTGTTTTAGTAAGTGTTTAAATTATGGTAATTTAATAATTTTGAAGTATCCAGTGGAAGCTCTATCCAAATGAAGTGCATACTTTATGTTAAAGGCTTATTGAAAACAGATACTATTGGGAAAAAAGTGATATTAATTCTAAAAACTAAAAGTTAAAATCGGTAGTCTAAAGAAAAATTATATGTTTAGCATTAAGGTAGAATATGTAAATAAAAATCTAAATTAATTCTATTTTTGTATGATGTCTCAACAGTCAAAATATACTAAAAAAAATCAATCAATGATAATCACTTCCACAATAGGTTTGGAAAATAATAAAGTCATCATTTGTGAATTTAGGCAGACTCCATAATGAATCTAATTATTTTTGAATTCCTTTCCTTTCGTCATATAAAATTTTTCATAATAAGTAAAACATTTTATAGATAATATATTTATGAAATTTAGTTTGAAAATTTAACTATTTACAAATCCATTTTAATTTAGTCTTTTAATTTTTTTTTCTAAATACTATTCTCATAAATGATGTATAATTTCCATAACATATTTTTTTATAAACTTTTTTGTATTTTTTTCATAATTTTTTATCATAATTTTATTCCTTTACATCTTAATTTAGTTTGATAACTCATAGAGTAAATTAATTAAAAAAATCATTCCAATGATCATTTAGTAACAATGTTACATCAACTACTAAAATGTGTAGGTATTTTTGTTGAAGTAAAAACAATTTAATTTATAAATCAAAATCAAATTTGAAAAAGTTAATATTATATGATATGGATTGCCAGCCTTAATTCTTAAGATTTAGGTTTTTTAATTCGAAAATGGCCTATAAACATAGTTATCTAATATATTGAAGTCCAAAGTTAACGAAAAAAGAATCCTATTAATTAATCTCTTTGTCAACCTATGAAAATTTGAAAAATTATAGAATAAGAAAAAGTTGTCAAAAATAAAATGGTCATTATTGATTAATTTTGTTTTTAATTTAAGGAAGAATTACTATAAGGAAATTCTGATATAAAATGAATTATATTGGCTACAATTGTAGATCATGAGAAAAATAATTGGATCCCAATAATTTCAATATTTTAAATCAAGAATAAAGACATAATAATTAGTTTTATAATTGATATTGGGTGTATATATTTAAAACCTATCATATTTAATTTAATATTATTGAATCTGTGTATCTCAAAGTTTCAGTCTCTAAAGCTCTAGGACTTATTTATTGTGAGGCTCCTCTAAATAATAATATATTCTTGAGATTTTTCTTACTCTTTACAGATGTGTGAGAAAATAAATATTATTTCAACTTCTTAAAATTCTAATTGATTTGTAATTACTTTTTCTCATATAAGATCAGTTTTCTTTCAAAAAATTTAGTCAAATAATTATTTGGAAGGCAATACTTAATAATATGATGAATAGAAGTTAATAAATTTATTTTATAAATTTTAAAATACGCTAATAAGATATTCTTTATAAAGGGATAGCATAACTTCATCCAAAGAAGAATTATGAAGAATTAAAGCATTACTGACCAATTAAAGTTATTTTGTTATTCGCTCGCATATTTTCCTATTGCTATAAAGATGGATATTGAACAAATCTAAGAAGTTTATAAATCTAGATTATTGAACTTTAGAATTATGTATGGCTGAAATTTCAAAGCGAATGCCTGATAAAGTAAAAGACATAAACCTAATAAAGATCCTTTTAAATAGATATTCGTTTCAAAGTATATTATGATAAAAATCATAATAATTTTTTACCAAATTTTGATAAATTCCCAATAATAATTCTCTTATTTGTATTCATTAAAAACATAGCATATGTGTTTTCTTAATTTGATTTCATCTAACTTATTTTTCAGTATAAATAATAATATGAAAGATAGAAAAGGTACTAAAAAACAAATAATGATGTA